TCTAACTCTTTCGACCAGCCATCTCTTTCTGCTTCAAACTCAGCTCTCAGGATTTCAATCTCTGATGGAACCACCTTGATGTGATCTTCCATAGGAATATCCTCATTTTGATCTGGTAGAGGAATATTTTCGTTTTTTCTGACAGATCTCCATTCTTCATAATCAGGAGTTAGCATTTCTTTTGCTGCTTTAGCTCGGATACAAAAAGTTGTTTTCCAAGCTGTAACGGCTTCCATGATGTTTCTTTTATAATTTTTGCTGTGGAATGCAAACTCAGATGACTGTAGTCCAGCAGTGACAGGTACAAATTGACGACCTTCATACTGTCTTATAACCAGAAGTGGTGCATATCCAATTCCTCCCCATAATCCGAGCAGCATTACCCAGTTGTAATCACCACACCTGTAAATGAACTCCCTTTGTATTTGCCACGGGGCTCGCCAAACAACGTCATTGCTTTGCAGATTTCTAAAGGCATTAATCCACATATCCTTCTTAATTTCTTTCGGCCATTCCTGCTCTAGAAATTCTTTTAATGGTGAGTAATCCGTATTGAAGCGTCGGTATGAAACCTTTTCCGTCCTCCAGAAATGACTACGGATCCAAACATATAACAACTGGGTACACCCTGAGAATCGTCCACCTCCTAGCCTTCTGCAAGCATTTAACGATCTGAAGGTCTCTGCTAGGATGGCAGAAACATGGTTAATCTTCTTTGGCAGTTGTTCAAACAAGTCTACTACTGCAGCTTCAATATATCCCAATGCTTTTGGGAAGATGACCATACCATATATACCCAGAGCAAATAGATCGAATCGTACTTTAGCGTCTGGATGACTCTGAATAAGCTCTCTGATGTTGGTCCAAGCAATGCCTTCGCTTTCGCCTTTTTGTTTTGTACGGGATGCTACCCATTCTTCTCGTACCCCAGCAATCTTTGCTAATTTAACTCGAAAGGGCTGAGTTTTAATTGACTTTGAATATATTCGACTCTCCAAAGCAACTTCAAGATGTAACAAAGTTGTATATTCTTCAATAGTAGGGACCAAGTCCTCCTTATTGAAAGTGAAGCAATTGTACCCTGGATTCCAGAATTGAACTAGGGCTCTGAGTAATTCATCATCAACTTCAACATAGAGCAAATATGGGATGTCTCCGTAAGTCTGATAAAACTGCAATTTTTTGTTTGAATCCCAACTTTCCCAAATACCTCGCAAATCTTGCAGATCATTTCTTTTTAGTGAAACTGAAGCATAACTGGCCAAGTCAGATACATAATCATCTGGCAGACTATCTCCTTCTTGTCTTTGTAAATCTTCAGCCCACTGTCTTACTTCTGAGTTTAGAATTACTTGACTTGAACCCTTTTTATCCATGGATGAAGGTTTTCCAATGAGACTATTAACACAAGGATCAATGTCTTTTATCCTGTATGATGCTATGCAAACAGAAAAATAAAGAACACACAAAAAGAAAATAAGTTAGTTTAAAGGATAATAACATTTATTTAATTTAAACATGCTTTTCTAAATAATTTAAATAAACATGTAAAATAAATTAATAGGAAAGACATAATTCATTTCTCCTGTGTGTACACTTATTTTGGACAAAATTTCGGCATGACTTCTAATTGGAAGAGTTTCTAAGGTTTTTTATATGCAGGGTTTCAGAACTAGGAGTAAAGGTACCCGAATTGTCCTTGTTAGTGCCCCCTTGGGTTACTAACCCTCAATCCTAGTCCATTACAGACTAAAGTGAATCGAGTTCAATTCGAGGGGATACATTTCTCTATGCCTGACACGGAGAATAAATTCTCACGAAGACAGAGAGCATATGAACCCCGAAAGTTACTTGCTAGGTCTGACACGGAGAATAAATTCTCACGAAGACGTTGCTTTCACTTTCACTTAAAAGGGACAACTCAATTATAGAGCTTTATGTTATGCAATGCAAGTGTTGTGTGTGAGGAGAAATGTTAAACTTTTGACATAAAAATAAATACTGAAATAAAATACTTGCAAATAAAACATATAAATATTATAAAAATAATAAATATATAAAAAAAAATTTGAAAAGAAAGAATTAAAAATTAAATATATAAATTTTTTAATTTTTAATAGAGACAATTTATAATTAATTTTTAAAAGTTTGACCAGTCCCCAGCGGAGTCGCCAAGCTGTCGTAACCGGTTTTCGTCCGGGCACGAAATATTTATTTGGCGGGAAAATTGATGTGAATAAATGGTTTTGAAAATAATTTGGGAGTCGCCATCGGCCTTTTGGGTCAGGTAGGTCGAATACCTAAAAATTATTTTTTTAAAAGAGTTTTAATAAAACATCAATTAAAAAAAATAAACTGATCTGCGTTTATAACCAAAAATTCATTCTTTTTAATAATAAAAAGGGATTCGTGGTCGGTTACGTTTAGGGAAGGATTAGCACCCCTACAACGCCCAAAATTGGTACTTTTTAATAATAAATTGTCTCTAGTATTAAAAATTTAAAAATTCAAAAATATATTTAATTTATAATTCTATTATTTCAAAATTATATAAAAAATATTTTTTATTTAAAAATATCCGAAAAGAACTTCTAGGTGCCTTAAGACAGCTCTTTTTCTTTGATATTGATAAATATTAATTTAAATAATATTGTTTAATTTTAAAATATCAGAATAGGACATCCAGTTGTATTAAGACTGTCCTTTTCTTCGATATTAAAAATAAATATTTAAAAGTTAATATTTATTATATATATATATTTATGAATATATATCAAAATATTTAACAATATAATAAAAGAATAATTCTATTAAAACAATATATTTAAAAACAATAAAATAAATTAAAACATATAAAATAAATGACTAAATTGCAATAAAATTAAAAAATCTAATTCATAATTAATCAAAACTATAGGGATTAAATATGTTATTTTTTATTTTTATTTAGTGACTAAAATAAAATCATCTAAAATTCGGATATTAGATTCAAATAAATTAAAAATATAAGCTAGGGATTAAAATATTATTTATTAAAATTAAAGGATTAAATACGTATTTATCCTAAATATATTATTTAATAGAAAGGACTAAAATAAATAAATCCAAAATTAAAGAACCAAATTATAAAGATCTAAAATTAGGTTCAGTGACTAAAATATAAAGTTTACAAATTTAGAGGACTGCGGAAAGGATTTAACCTTTCTATAATTACGCACAGGTCCTCCCTTAAACGACGCCGTTTAAGAGAGGGTATAAATACCCTAGGTTGGCTGGCCCTTCGGGCCAGTATCTCATTTCTCCTTTCTTTCTTCTCTCTCTCAAACTGAGAGAGAGATTTCTCTCTCGCCTCTCTCTAGGTTTCCCTCACCGGAGGGAAACCGGCAGCCATAGGCCACCGTACTCCGCCGCCGGCCACCGCCGCCGGCCACCGTAACGGTGGTCGGAATTCACCAAAAACACCCCCAAATTGTAGATCTAAATGCCCTAAGACCGATTCCGGTCTTTGTTTTCCCTAAAAGACTCCTAATCGGAGTAAATCTAAACAAAACCGAAGGGTTCTACCTTCTTAAACGGCGGTTTGGCAACGTTTGGCTTCCGAGGGCCACAAAGGCTTCAAGGGTAAGTCTTCTTCTTCTCTTTTCCTTTGGTTTACTGCTGTGGTTGCTATTCGTTGTTGTTGTATCCTCTTTTTTTTTTCTTGTTGTTGGCTGTCTCGGTTCTTCCTCCTTTTTTTTCTTTTTCTGTGTCTCGTTCTGTCTCTCCTTTTCTGTCTTGCAGGTGGGTGGTGGCTTTTATAGCCACCACCGGTGCGGTCATCGGACCGGTCCGAAGAGAGGGCTTTGGTGAGTCACCGGACTACCAGTGGTGACTCACCCCGTAGCCTTGGCGTGGACGGCCGGCGTTGATCTTCTGGAGCCTTCATTCGGGACGTGGCAGCGGCGGAGGCGTCGGCAGTGGGCCATTGGACCACTTGGCAGTGAGGCGGCGGCTGGGATCTGGAAGCATCAGAGGCGGCTGGGTGTGGCTAGGGTTTAGAAACCCTAGCTGAAACCTTACTAATTGTTTAGGGTTTCTGGTTGGCTGGACCGGTTCTAGTTGGCTTGTAACTGGGCCGGTCCAGTTGTAATTATTTATTAAATAATAATAATAAATACTAATAATAATAATAATAATAATAATAATAATAATAATACTGATAATAATAATAATAATGATAATAATAATCATAATATTAATAATAATAATAATAATAATAATATGGATAAAAAATAGTATCTTCAGTATGGAGCTGGAAGCTAATGTTGTTTATTTGTTCTTTAATGAAACAATGGCGAGTTGGCGACCACCGGCGAGAAAGAGTGGTGTTTCTACTATCCCAAGGATAGAAAATATAGAAACAGTACAAGGCCGAATGGAGTAATCGGAGCTGGGTTAACGTTCATTAATGGCCGTGGGATTAAAATCGAACCGATTGATAACGTAAGAGAGCAAACGAGAATACATGAGCATGAGCTTCTTAATGCATATCTACTGTGATTTGAAGATTAGTGAGTATTCGTTGTTGCTGTTGACGATGTTCTATTTAAATTTTAAGAATTATATTAAAAAAATTAATTATTTTGATTAATATATCATAGTTAATAATTTAATGATGAAAAATAATATTAAATCTATAATATAAATGGTTAAAATATTTTTTTAAATTTAATTAAACACTCATGTTAACAATGAGAAAAAAATAATAAGGTTAACAACTCGATAATTAAAATAGAATAAATTGATAATATAAATAATTGAAATATATATATATATATATATATTTGAATTTGATGATCAAAATTAAATAAGATTGAAATACAGACGACCAACTTGTAGTTTACCTAATTTTTAAATAACCAAATAAGGAAGAGAACACGGTGGACTCGGATGCACCATATCAAATCCTAACTGCAATCAGTCCGAACAGTAGAGATTCGTTTCTTAACGATGACAGCGGCACGTTACTGTTTTCACCAAATTACCATATCACCCCAATGTTTCAAACCAAGCTGCCAATAACAAGCGTCCAACAAGGGTAATAAAGGTATTTGAAATTAAATAAAACAATTGAAAATAATATCCTTTTTGTTAGCATTTTTCTTCAAGCGTCCTCTCTCTTCTCAATCATTTGAGAGACGTTGACTTCCTCCAAAACGACGTCGCTGAAGCCCAATCGGAGCGTTCGCCGTGAACAAGCTACGATTCTGTCTTGATCGGAGCTGTGAAATCCGCTGTTCACAAAGTTATTTTCTGATAACATCGCTTTGCTTTGCTTTTATTTTATTTTTCCTTTTTCGTTGTTCATTACATTCGTAATATTTTTTTGTTGGATTTTCAGATAATGGAGCGACAAACGTGCCTAATTTTGGTGATTTTTACATGTTTAATTGCATCTTTTTGCGGAAGAGGTGCTTTTTAAATTCAATTCGTTTAATGTTTTTTAAAAAAATTAGGTCTTCTAGATACAATTTTAGTGAATTATTCCTGATTTGTGCAAATAAAAATGTTGAAATCAGCTCACGAACTTCCTTCTTAATTGATTTTTGTAGCTTTTGAGATGTTAAACTTTAGTTTGTTGAGGAATTTGCTTCCGTTTACTGCAGAATTGCAGGTCAAACACAACCATAAAGTCGCTGTCTACAATCATACTCTTGCGACCATTTTAGTGGAATATGCTTCCGCGGTAAAGTTGTTATTATGCTTTTGAGCTTAAAGGTTTAAATAATTGTTAAGGAGATTTTAGATTCGCCTCGCAGTTGGTTAAATCATGAGCTAATGAAATTCATTGTATATTAATCATATGCGATAATTGAATGAAACAAATGAAATGAGGATGAAGCTCGGGATTGGTGTAAATGATCTTGTAAGAGTTGATGTTTGCTTCATTATATTGCTTTGTATCCCTTGTTGTTGTTTCCATAAATCGGACAAATGTGGTTCCTGTAGGTGTACGTTTCGGATTTGACGGAACTTTTTACATGGACGTGTGAACGGTGTAATGGTTTGACGAAGGTGCTTGATTTTCTATTGGTTTTTCTTTAATCTTCAATGTTTAAGTAGGTTCCCAGTCAAATGGTTTGCTCCAATGCTCCTTGATATGGAAACAGGGTTTTGAAGTTATTGAGCTAGTTGTGGATATTGAGAACTGTTTACAGGTGAATCACCTTGTGTGTTTTGGTATTTATTGAAATTATGACCCATTTAGGTGTTGAACTTAAGAATACTTTTGTTTGTAATTGACTATCAACGGATAGGCGTTTGTTGGAGTGGCAAAGGATCTTAACGCCGTTGTTATTTCCTTTCGGGGAACACAGGAAAGCAGGTACTAGCATTATTTGCGTTTGTACTTTCAGCTCAACCAACGTTTCAAAATGAATAGGCATTTGTGGCATCGAAACATAAATGATAAAAAAATTCTGAATCATGCAGAAGCTGATAGTCTTTTTTTTTTTTAATACGTTTTACTGTTTTCTGTGTGATTGATTTATCTGTCTGTTTGCAGCATACAGAATTGGATTGAAGACTTGTACTGGAAGCAGCTTGATTTACATTACCCTGGCATGCCTGATGCTATGGTATGCATAACAAATTCCTCCCAAATTTTGAATTTATGCTGGAGTGATTGTAATTAATGTTGTCTATTTTGGCTATTTCAGGTGCACTATGGATTTTATTCTGCTTACCATAACACAACCATACGCCATGGGATTCTGCATGCTGTTAAAGAAGCAAGAGAGTTTTACGGGGACCTTAACATCATGGTGACGGGTCATTCAATGGGAGGGGCTATGGCTTCCTTTTGCGCACTTGATCTAACGGTAATCTTGAGCATTTCTTGCTTCAGCTGGAAATATATTATTATTGTTTTTTTTTTCATTGTGCAGTAAAGATGAAACCTTATATACTGCAACATGGTTTCCGTGATGTGCCATGGCATTTCCAAATCTTTTTGAGTTACTTTTCCTGCATTAAATTCTGGAAGCTTTGCTGGTTGCTTTGTCTGAGTTATATGTGAAAATGAATCTTTATCCCCAGGTTAATCATGAAGCCAAGAATGTTCAAGTTATGACATTCGGACAACCTCGTATAGGAAATGCTGCCTTTGCTTCTTATTATGCCAAGCTTGTGCCGAATACTATTAGAGTGACAAATGACCATGATATCGTGCCTCATCTACCGCCATACTATACTTATTTCCCTCAAAAGACTTACCATCACTTCCCTAGAGAGGTACGTATCTATGATTGTTGAAATTAATTCTCTATGATTTCTGGTATTGCTTGGCAATGTAAATGTAAACTTAGGCCTAACTGTTCAATCATTGGATTATAGAGAACTTGAACATTATGCAACTTTCAGTATAAAACTTTTTCTACTATCGAGGAAGCCCGGATTCTTGCCCATATCCATCTGTTGATTCGTTTCTCAAGTAACAATAAGTCAATAACGGTGAATGTCAGTATCATGAAATGTAGCATGTTCCTAATGGTTCAAGAAAGAGACTCCTCCTTAGTTGCAGCATTACTTAGAATATAAATCTAAGCAATGCCTTTTCGTTTTGAGTCTACGCAATTTAACATCCATAAATATGAGGGTGCAATCGTGCTCTGTTGTGCTAGATAAAGGACTCATATTCGGTGCATGTAAGACTGCAGTCTGATTAAAAAAGAACGACGTGGATAAGTTCATTAATTTATATCCTTGTTTGTAGGTGTGGCTGTATAATCTTGGATTGGGAAGTATGGTTTATAGAGTTGAGAAGGTCTGTGATGGTTCCGGTGAAGATCCAACCTGTAGTAGGTAAGCCTATTTCAGTATGTTGATCTTGATCGTGATGGAAATTTATCAGTACAATGAACTTCATTTATTCGTATCTTTATTTTTCTTGAAATATGCATACCCAGCACATTTTGAACGTGTGTATTTGGATATGACCCTCGAAAAACATGAACTTTAAAAAATATATTGTATATGGTACATACTCGCATTGGACACATGCCCGCATCTGATAATCATACTCGAGTTCAACTAACACAGGCTTAAGCAATTTTGCCTTTGTCAATTTCTTGATTTTTTGGTTTATGAAAATGTAAGATGAAGGCGTCTCTTAGCCGTGTGTCGTTTCCTCTTTTGCTAACCGAGAACACGGCATGACTAAATAGAGTTATTATTGCAGGTCAGTAAGAGGTAACAGCGTCATTGACCATTTGAGTTACTATGGAGTCGATTTGAAATGCCAAGAATGGAGATCATGCAGAATCGTGATGGATCCTCGGGTTTCAGAATACGGAAAAACAGATCTCAAAGGAAATTTCATTTTGTCCAGAGCTCCAGCCACAAGTGTTCTGAAAACGAACACTCTGTCAAATGGGGAGGAAGTTAAAGCTAGTGCATAATTTATCTAGTTTATAGTTTCTCCTGGACAATGACTGGCCTGGTACCCGCGGTTCATCAGACTACGCTTCAGGTAATTACTACTTTATCATTCTTCCATTCAAGCCATGTAAAAAGCCATTGAAAATGAACATAATGTAGGCTTTAATTTAGGAATAAATTTATGTAAATATCTACCAAAAGTGTCTATAATGTCTATATTAGGCCGATGGCCAGTTCCTGTGATCAAGCCTTTATCCTGCAATAAAGTAACCCGGTTAAGCTTTGAGTTCGGTCCGAAATCCGAATCTATTTTATTTATTTCTTAGTCTTCACGATCATTCGGGGAGTCGAACTTTTTCAATATAAAATAAGTGGTGGCTGAAGAAGAAAAAGAGAGTTGTAAATACTTATTTGGAATCGTATATCAAGTTTGTTGAATGTCTATCGACTACTGGTTGGTTTATTGTTAGATTTCTTAAACGAGGTCAGAAGTTTGAATTTTGCCACGTTGTGGAGAGTTGTTTTCATAATGTGTTTTCATAAACGAGTTGTTTTTGAAATATTTGATTTGAATTAGTCATGTGATGTGTAGTGATAAGGTATATTTAGGGATGATCAATTTACTTGAACTTGATCGGGTTTGACCCTATCCTGTAAGGTATGATTTTTATTTGGGGTTTTGGGCAGGTTGGGTTTACGGTTTAATGTAAATTTTTTGATCTGATTTGGATAGTTATTAGAATAATTTTTTATTATATATTTAAAGATAATTATTGTTATACTAGTATATATATTATCTTACTAAATAAAAAAATTTATTCGAGTCGAGTAATGTCATGAATTATTACTCTAAATTTTAAGATGGGTGAAATATTATTAAAAATTAGGATGGATCAGGTTGGGTGGGAGCTTTTAATTTTTGGGTAAATTATACATTTAGTATTTAAATTATCAGTTTTGGTTTGTTTAGTTCCTAAACTTTCAATTTTTTTAAAAAAACATAATTACAATTTAGTTTTTGTTTTATTTTAGTACCATACCATCAAATTTTTTATTTTTTGTTTCATTTTAGTATCTCAATTCAAAATTAAACATAAAGTTTTGAAAAATTGAAAGTTGAGGTACTAAAACAGATCAAATTAATAATTTAAATAATAAATGAGTTAAGTTTTTAACGATGTAATATTAAAATAAAATGAAAATTAAATATTGGGTATGTTTTAGAAAAATATAAAGCTTAGGTAATAAAAATATATTAAAATTAATAGTTTAAGTATTAAATACGTAATTTAACTTTAATTTTTCTGGTTGGGTGGGTCGGAAAAAAAATCGACCCGTTTTGTCGATAATAAAAAGAATATTAAGAGGAGCGAAAGTTAAGTTTTTGTATGTATCTCAATTCCTCAAAGATCCAATTCACTTGGCACTCCAAAACTATGCACACATTTCCATAACTTAGCCTTTCGGCCTTCTCTTCTTTGGAATTGCGTACAAGAAAGGAATTCTCCATAAGGACACCTCAATACTGAATTAAAAATATTATAGGAATTTACATTTAAGATCACTTAATTATAGATCTTGGTTACAAACATATTATTTTTTTATTAAAATTATAAATAAATTATTCAATTAAATTACTATTAAAAGTAAATAATTTTATCGTTGAAGTTAAAATGAAAGTTTAATATAATATACCATAATAGTATCGTAGTTTCTAAAATTTACGCATTTTATTAATTTATTTTAATCTAAAATAATTTAATACTTTATATTAAAATCTCCTTTAATTCATTTTTTGTGATATTATCAAAGTAAGAGAGTTCATCGGATGAAAACAATAGTTGAATAATTATATTTTATTATAAGATAATAATAAATTACTGTTAAATTACTATATTAGGAAGGTAACATAAAAATAATATAACTAAAATAAAAGATTAATAACTAAAATGATAGTTTATTTAAAAAAAAAAGATTATTTTTATTAAATTATTTTAAGCTAAAATCAAATTAATAAAATATAAATTTAAAATTATTATTATATCAAATCATATTGTTATTTATTTTTAATTAAATGATATATATATATATATTAAAAATGACACGTTTAAAAATATAGTTAAATAATTTTTAATTATTTTCTAGATTGAGTACTACAGAGGTGAGGGCGACCTGCCTAATCCAATTATAATATTTTTTTCTTGAATTAATCATTAATATTCGATCTATTGACCAACTAATCTAGATCGAGTACTACAGAGGCGAGGGCAACCCGCCTGATCCAATTTGCTCTATTCACAAACGTCCGTGTTTGAACTTCTAGACTTACTTAAGGGACTTAGTGTTTCATCCTTCTAAACCAACTGATTATTGGTAATTATAATATTTTTTAATATAACAGATATACAAAAATATTTATTTTTTATTCTTTATTTAATATATTGAATTATATTAATATTTAATCTACAATAATGAGTATGTATTTGATCTTTATGATATGCATCAGCCCCCTGTGAAACATGATTCGCTGTCATTGCGGCGCCTGATCTAGTTTCTCTCAAAGTCATCAAACCCACCAATAAGATATTAATAAATAAACTTTCAAAACATAATAATAATCCTCAGATTATACCCTACATTCCGAAATGTTCCCTGAATTTATATTTCTTTTAGATTAATCCTCAAGATCAATATCATATTGTAACATGTGATATCAATTATCAATCTACAAAATACTATTGAATTTAATAACTAATTTTGAAAAGAAAAATAATAAAGGGTAAATTACGTTTTTAGTACTTAAACTATTTATTTTGGTCTATTTTAATATCTATACTTTTCATTTTTCTCAAAGTTATGCCTAAAGTTTGATTTTTGTTTCGTTTAGTTATCTCATTCAAAATTTAACATTAAATTTTGATTTTTTTTTTTTTGAAAGCTTAGGTACTAAAATGGATCAAACTGATAGTTTAGGTACTAAATGCGTTAAGGTTTTAATAATGGGATACTTAAATGAAACAAAAACTAAACATTAGATATGATTTTAAAAAAATTAAAAATTTAAATACTAAAATATATCAAAATTAGCAATTTAAATACTAAATATATAATTTAATGTATATTAAATTTTATAAATTCATCGAACCATCTCAATAAATTATTATTATTATTATTTTGTTGTTTGAAAATCCATCCCAATAAATTAAGATGAATTATAAGAGGTCTTTTGAGGAAGGTGGAGGGGCCAGCCAGGGCTTCATTCATCTTCTTTGGAAGATCACGACAAACCACCAAAACCAACCCCGTCTTCCCATATCAGCAAACTCCCTTCCCTTTTTCATGGAGATGGAAGCCTCTTCACCCAATCAACGCCTTGCTTTTGGGAAGATGGGTTATGGGTATCTATATATCTCTTCTTTCATCTTCTTCGTTTGATTCTTTTCTTTGTTTTTTTTTTCAATTCATTTCCACTCATGATTTCTGGGTTTTTGTTCTGGATTTCTTAGATGCCAACATTATAGGAGGAGATGCAAGATTCGAGCTCCTTGCTGCAACGAGGTTTTCCCCTGTCGCCATTGCCATAACGAATCTGTGGTATTTTTCCTCCTCTTTTGGATTCCCCTGTTTTTTAGGATAAATTACACAAATGATCTCCTATTACAGGATGATCTCCTATTACAGGATGTTGCTTTATTAAATACTCCTACAAAATGGTTACCTACTATGTTGAGTCCCTTAAAATGGTCATTTTAGTATATAGGATAAAATCTGATCTCAGAACTGTTTACTATACAAGTATACAAGTAATCGTATACTCGTTTTATAAATTTTAATAGTCGAGGCTCAATAAAATAATGACCTATAATTTTATATTATTTGGTAACTTTTAATAGTCAATAGATTCAACAAAAGGGCATCAAATAATTGGGGGACTATTTACGTACTTTATCTGTTTTTTTAATTTTCTGTTTGAAGCTGGTTTTAACTTTACTTATTTGTTATTCAGAGCCTGTTGAGTAACCCTTTTGATAGGCACGAGCTTGTTCGACAAGATGTTAAGCAAGTACGGCATTGAAAACCCGAGCTTTTCAACTTATTTTTTTCTCTAACCTTTGTGTTACTAATATGTCTTTGTTCTTTGTTCTTTCTTATTTGTTTCTTTTAAGGTTATTTGCTTGGTCTGTGACACAGAGCAGCCGGTATGTATGTTTCAGATTTTTTTTCTTTCTTTCAAGCTCTCAAGTTTGATGTTGAATTATGTTGTTCTAGGTTGCTCAAGTTTGTTCGAATTGTGGCGTCAACATGGGAGAATACTTGTGCAAAATTTGCAACTTCTTTGATGATGATGTAAGTTCATATGTATATATATAGAAGAAATTATGAACTGGTTGATGGAAGAAATTATGAAGAACAAATTATGAGTGTTTGACACATATCCGGACATGAGTGCATAGATATAATCCTCCGAAGATTGTCTGAATATGTATAAATATCCGTGTCTGACCCTCACAATTGAGTCTAAGCTCATATATATGTAGAAGAAATTATGAAGTAGTTGATAGAGTTCAGTTCATTGATGATGATGTTTGACACATATCCGGACATAAGTAAATGAATATAATAATCCGAAGATTCTCCGAATATGTAAAAGTATCTGTGTCCGAAATTCGTGATCGAGTCCTAACAGATCATTTGCTTTTCCTTGATGTTTACCTTTTGATTGTACATGATGCAGACTGAGAAAGGGCAGTTTCATTGTCATGATTGTGGGATCTGCAGGTTAGTTTCCAAGTTTATGCATATGAAATATTATGTTGTTTTTGATTATTCAAATGCGACTAATGGAATGGTTTTGGGAATAGGATTGGTGGCCGAGAGAATTTTTTTCACTGCAAAAAGTGTGGTATGTACTTGAACTCATTCTTTTTACGAGTTCGAGAAACATAGATGCTGAATGCCGGTGTTTGGCACGGTTTCTATTCCATGCTGACTGCTGTTTCGATTTGTGCCTTATAATCTGTGATCCTGTAGGGTCTTGCTATTCCGTTGCCTTGCAAGGTAATCATACTTGTGTAGAGAACTCAATGCAGCATCACTGCCCCATCTGTTACGAGGTATACGTCTTTCGGTCTTTCTCCGTTTGTAATCTTGAACTATTCTCGTCGGCTAATGACACGTCGTTTTGTTTCTCCAGTACCTATTCGATTCGTTGAAGGATACAACCGTGATGAAATGTGGTCACACGATGCACTACGAATGTTACCATGAGATGATTAAGCACGACAAGTG